AACATGTGGATGCTGCATGTTTTCCCCTCTCATTAATGCACAAGTGGCCTAACTTTGAAAAAAATTAATATGGGCCTTGATTAAATAGCTAAATATGAATTTTGAAAGCAGCAATTAACAATGAACGGAACTGCATTTTTTAAGGTTCTATAATTGCTGGTGTGTGTGATCTAATTATTAGTTTAACAGAAAAGCCAGCAAGTCTAGCAGAGATGAATATGAGTGATTATTTCTTTTCATGAACTGATATGGGTAAAAGATACGGATGCTACATTAAACCAGAGATGAGGAAGGACTGGCATTATCATGCCAGCCAGATCTGTACTGGAGTGGGCATATAAAGGAAGATGGTTGGTGGACTTAAGGCAACAAGCACAATTCATCTGAGTTGTAGACCTTCTGAGGATTCTGCAGAGCTTGGCTGTGGGGCTAATATGTCAGAAAAATGACATTTTCCTTAGAGTTTCTCTGTTAGATGTGAGGAGCATTCAGTGCTCAATGGCAGAACAATGTCCTGCATGCTGAAGGTGCCAGGTTCAGTCTCTGATGTCTTCAGTTAAAAGGTTCAGGTAGTAAGTGATGGGAAAGATGTTGGCAAGAGACCCTGGAGAACATCTTAAAGTCCAAGTAAATATTACTGTTCTAGATAGACACGTAGGCTGACCCAGTATGAACTTCCTATGTTCCTGGGTCTTCCTCAAATAAGCAGCCTGTGGATTGTGCCCCTAATGTCAGATGGATTCTGGTTCTGGTCTTTAAAGTTTCTAGTCCACGTGAGCACTGAGATTAATTTTACTTATTTGTATGCTGCTTTATCAGACAAAACTCTCCCAAAAGGTCAAATCTTTTTACAATCTAAGTAAATTGATTGGAATCAACGGGGCATGCTTCTAGCAGATATTCATAGGATTGCCGTTCGAGTGATAAATTTAAAGCAACCAAATGCATGAACATAGATGGAGTTTGAAGGTGTGATGTCACGTTACACTTGACATGCTGCAAATAAAAAATGTGTGATTTCGGTGGAAACCCGTGCACCAGGGCCCCATTGCTAGACTGTTTCCATCCTCAAAATGAAGGGACATGAGTACACTTGGCTCTTTTCTTCCACCCCACTCAATTTGCTTCTTTCTTGGTTTCCTAAGTTTTGTTGATTAGTACTGTAGCTTCCACAAAAAGCAAAGAAGAGCAGGGAAAGCAGTGTGATGCTCGAGATGTCACAATGTGGTGAAATGCAGCTCATCATACTATACGGTATTTGCGTTCACCTTTCTGAATGTTCAAAATTATCATGGATAAATATTCTGATAGAAAACGTTCTTCTTCCAATTTCCCTTAAAGATACTTTTCAAAGAGTATGCTGTGTATATTCACAGTCTGTGGGGGAGGTTGACATCTTCTAGCCCTCTGAATGTTTTGGCCTACAGTTCCCGTTGGCCAAGGCCAGCACGGCAATGAGGAGAGATGATAAGAATCGTAGGGCAAACACTGCCCATCTCTGCTTTGTGGTTTAGCAATCACCCCTGGGATCTGGAAGAAAAATAATGCAGCGACCTGACTTGTGCTATGCAGCTTTGAATCAGGTCACTCTCTGGGTAGAAGTCAGCATGATCATGTGTCCTATGTTCTTGAGGACTGTCCTCTGTTTGAATGGCTGGCAGGGAATAGTCCTCTGTTTGAAGTGGTCCTCCATCTAAAAGACTTCACAGTTCACATACAGCTTAAAGGCTAGGTGCCATAAGAGGGGAGGGGATGTGGTCCTGGAAGTTGCCCATCACGTTGCTCAGCAAATGGTACATGTGGGCATTCTACCTCTGATACTGGAACTAGCATAGAGCCATCAGCATGAGTGGCCATTGCTGGCTTTCTGCTCCAGGAGAAAGCTCCAGGATGGCTTTCTGCTCCAATTCCCTTTTAAAGCCCTCCAAATAAGTGGCCAGCACTACCTCTTGAGGAAGTAAATTCCATAGATTGCCTGTGTGTCCCCTCCTTTTATCTGTCCTGGATCTCCCACCTGTAAACTACATGGGATGATGCCTTTAGGTTCTGGTATTATGGGAAAGGGAGAAAATGGCTCCTTCGGTACTTTCTCCACACCTTTCCTTTTGGACTGGAGTCTGTACACTGTGCAGAGTCTTAGACAGAAAAGTTTCTGCTGATCCTTTAAAACCACTGACTGGGGACTGAACTTAGCATCTTCCAGACGCCAGCCATGGAGTTATGTTACCTCTCCTAGTTTAGGCAGATTCAACCAGTGAGGAAGAAGAGGCGCTGCCATGGCCCATCTGCCTTCCTGCTTCCATCACTGGTTCCCGCTCACTGCAGACCCGTGTGGGGACCAGCTGCACTCTCTCTGCATGTTCACCACCCCATCCTCGGTCGGCATCGTGCTCGTGGGAGGTGCACCAGGGCCGGGAAGGAGGCTGGGGAAGAGAGAGACAGCTCAGTGGCGCCACCCCATGGCAGGCTGGGACTGTTTCTGCTGTGTTGTGGTGTAGGGGAAATGTTGAGGCAGGGTTGTGTTGACTGTGTTTTCTTAGCCAATCTGTGCTGGTGTGTATGGGGGGTTTGAGTGGGTGGGGTTAACTGTATGTCATTATTCAACATCATGAATGTTATTCTATTAAGTAACTTACTTTGATTTTGTATTGCTCTGCTGTTAATATTGTATTTGGATTTGCTATGAGCATAGTATTGCATTTATACTGATTTTGTATTTTTGCTATTGTAAATTTTTGATTATATTATTGCATTTTGTATCTTGTCTTGCTGTAAGCCATCCAGAGAGCCCTATGGGGCAGCATACAAATGCAATATATAAAATAAAATCAATCATTCCACAATAATGAATCCCAGCATGAACCTACCCGTACACTAAGCTCATCACCTAAGGCCCCCCCTCAGCTGTTTCCTTTGAGGGAGGGGCTGAAGGTTGCAACAAGGGAGAAGACCTTAAGGCCCCCTTATTTGGCCTGTCGGGACCAGCTTGAAACCTTTCCACATGCCCAGGAATTTTGCAGTAAAGGCTAAATTTTTAATGAGGATATAGGATATTGGTTTGATATGAGTTTGTGTGTGTGTTGGTTCTGTTGATATGTTTGTAGCCAAACTGTTTTTAGATTATACACACTACTGTATTTTCAACCTCTGTAAACTACCTAAGGAGTTTCTACTATGGGCAATACAGAAATATAATAAATGAAATGCACAGTTCAGTTCAATTCAAGAGCACAATTCTAGGATCTCTGCTCTCAGATGGGGGCTGGACTGAAACTCCTCCTGTGATAATGACCTTAGCTGATAGTGAAGATGGGGTTATAGCCAAAACAGGACCACTGAGAGTCAAGGGATATATCAGCAGAGGTTCCCAGAGTTTACCGATGTCCTTTAAGGGGCAAGCAGCCCTCCCATCCCAGTGAGGACCAGCCATGTTCAGTGGCCACAGAATCCTGAACATGTTGAGGCAGAAAAGAGAAAACCATGGGAGGAGAAATGGAATGGCGCATCCTGGAGAAGGACATGGCTGCCTGGAATGCTGAACAGAAATGCTCCACTGCAACGTTTGGGGAACTTCTGGCCTTGTGGTGAACAACTGTGACCTTCTAACCATAATTCTGCCCCATAAATGACATTAGGGTTGGTTGCGGATGGAAATGAGATGGTGCCTTAGAGGTTTTGACTGGGACTGGCTCTCCTCCTGGCTCCATTGTTCAAGGGCAAAGGGAGTGGGATATTTCCTTTTTGCACATCTTCCACCTTCCCTGAAGGGGATGCTGCACAGCAGCTCTCTGGTCCCTCCTTTCCTTGCAGCAGGGGTTGGACAGCAATCAAAGAAAAGGCTGGGGAAGCTACAGAGAAGGTGCCCTGCCATTCTCTGCTTTTTTTCAGAGGCTGGGTGCTTTCTTTGGACACGTGCCATGGCCCAAGCGGAAAAATTTGTTGTATGAAGGCTGAGAAGCAATTTATGCAGCAGCCCTGGAAAAAATCCAGGCCTCTGGTTGCTGGTGGCACTTTGGTCTGCAACTGGTTTTCCACATGTGTTGAGTCCTAGGATGGCGCCAAGTCTTTTGACTTCTAACAGTTCAGTCCTATGAAAGTTTACTCTAGTGCCAGTCCTGTTGAGTTTAGTGGGACTTAACGTATAGGTAAATAGGTAGAGATTTTCGCTTAAGAATATGTTAAAGTAATAGGGTCAACAGTCGCATTAATTTCAGTGTGGAGGGCTGTTAGTGGATTAGAAGTGCAATCCCTTGCAGGTGCAGACAGAAAAAGGCCTACAGCTCCCAGCATCCCCTAGCCATCTTCCATGTTGGCTGGGGGATTCTGGGAATTGTAAGTCTTAGTTTTCAATTCAAGCGTGCATAGGCTTGCCCCCTAAAGCAAACTTAGGCTACAATCCTAATAATATACATCATCATCATCATCATCATCATCATCATCACATTTCTATACTGTTCATAAGCTGAAACTGTCTGGGCAGTTTACCACAATAATAACAGAATATTTACCAGGAGCTCCCATTGAGCTCTGTGAGACTTTCTTGCATGTAGAGATGCAGAGGATTCTGCTGTTCACTGCTTCATCCTCTGTAGTTAACAGATGGTTCAATTTATACATTTTATTTACACAATTGCAAATAGCTGATAATACTGCTATCTCTTCAACAATCAGAATTTAATAAATATGTTTTAAAAACAGGTGGATTTTTAGAAGGAAGAGCTATCATTAAGATTTTCTTTGTAGTTTACAGCCTCATTTTTGTAAAGCATCAGAAAAAATAGATTTATATGTATGCATATGAGACCTTTAACACTCATTCAGCCCTTATCTATTAATCATCAACAACTTTAGTTGAGTAAATGAATTAAATTTTATGGTCACCATTTAAAAAATATATCCTCCAATTATGCTTATGTAATACCTATTTTACTATACACTGAATTTGCACCTGCCACCATGTTCACTATTTGTGCCCATATCCCCACAGAAAAACCTGCAAGATGGCATCTGTCTTCCGGAGTGAAGAGATGTGTCTGTCCCAACTTTTTCTCCAGGTGGAGTCTGCCTATTGCTGTGTTGCAGAACTCGGAGAGCTGGGACTGGTTCAGTTCAGAGATGTGAGTAGCATCAGATGCCACTGGGGGAGAAATGGGTGCTGTTTGTGCTTTCGAAGGATTAATCCTGAACGTGAGAGTTTTGCACTGTAGTGCTTGCTGCAGATGCATGCAGAACTGAGAGCTAAATCAGTGCAATGTTCCATAAAGCACTGGTTTTTCTGCCTTTGGGAAATACTCTCCACATTTGCCACTGAAATCTGGCACATGGCTCCGGGGAACTGTCACTGCTGCGGTGGAATGGTAGGAACAGTCCTGAGAAATGGATAGAAACATAGACAGATCTATATATCTATCCATCTATCATCGTATACATCATGATTGTGTCTATTTTTCTCCTCCCCCGAGGGGCTAATCCTTCATCTTTACAGGCCCATGCTGAAAAGAACCTGGGTACTAGCCAATGTTAGCCATATGTCAAGTGGGTCCATTGACATTCTACCTGTTTTTCCTCCATCTTTTCATGCACGCAGGCACTGCAGCTGAAGGAACCCCATTTGGCTTGCTGTATTCTGGCATCCCTTCCATACATAACCCTTTTGCTTGAGGAAATGGTGCCTCTTTACCTTGCAAATAGCCATCTTGGGTTTGACAAGCTCACATTTGTCTTGGTCATGGCTGGGTGGTGGGAAACAAATGTCTCCAGGATTTTACCCCAAGTGTACAAAATCTATGTATAAGCAGGCAGATTTAGATTCATCTGTGTCGCTTTTCATTTTTGTTGCATCTAAATCTCTTAGTTGAATGCAAACGTGAACAGCTTCCAAAGAAAGTTTGTGAATGAAGTACGAAGATGTGAGTCCTTGGAAAGGGTACTTCGTAAGTAGATTTAAAATAAAAAATAAAAATAAGAGAGTAAAACTGCAAAATGATTTTGCACTCTGAAAGCATCCTGAACCAAATTTCAGGGATGTTGTAGTAAAAGTTGTTAACTTTTCTTTGAGGGAGGTTCAGCTTTAGCAGTTAAAATATCACCAGAAGCTGACTGTAAACTGGAACAGAGGCACCGTTAGGGAGAGGACTGTCGTTCAGCAGTGCAGACAGCTCCAGGCTCAGTCCCTGGGACCCCCAATTTGGAAGGGAAGTTGTCCTCCAGGAGACCCACCCCCCAGAGATGCAGAACCTAAATCCCCGTTCTGCCTAGAGAAATAGCTTTTCCTCTTCCCTGGCCAGTGATGGTTAGGTACTTTCTTGGAAAGCTTAATTACTGGCAGCAAAAACTGTAAACTAAAAATGGCTGCACCCATTTTTGCCTTTGGTCCTGCCCACTCCTGGAATGAGGCCCTCTAGAGGTTACCCAGAATTTGATTTGGCCTTGGTGTTTCAATCTCATCCCTTTTGCCTTTGCTTTCCTTCCTTTACCTTTGTTTCCACCCACCAATGGAAGTGGAGTTTAGCCTGTAGCTTGGCACCCCAATCCAAACCAACCCCAAATCATATACCCGTTTATACTTCTACATATGTATGTATATGGGCACGCAAACAAAGCACATGCATTAACACAGAGCTATATTTATGTAGGAAAACTAGCAGGCCCTGGTAGCCCCAGTTCCACTATCCCCTCCCCCCCGCCACACACACACTTTTAAGCCCAGCTTAGAGACCCTTACTCAGCCATCTCAATTATCTTAAGCAGTGCTTTGATTCTCTGGCCAATTCAGGCAGCTTATCCCTACAAGTAGCTGTGGTGTCAGACACCTTTCAGAATTCTTTTGGGTATTCTTTGTTAAATATTAGCTTGATGGCTCACGAGCCAAAAGCAGTTAAAGGTTTCCACCTGCTGCCTTTCAACTAGTGGGCTGTACAAGAAGCGAGCCAGAGAGCTCCGTCTCTTCCTTCAGCATGGCCCACAGTCCAGTCTATATTCCTGCGAAAGCGCCACGCTTCTCCCTGGTTTGTTCGCAGGCTTTCTGGAGAGTGAAATGGGGGATGACATCCTGCTTCTTAAGCCTGGGAAGTATCCAGAGACTCCGCTACCTCGAGAGATGATTGACTTAGAGGTGAGCAATTCAGGGAATTGCTGAGTACAAACAGCAAGAGAGGCTGTTGTCTTCGTCTCAAATGTGTGCCTTCCAGGAGGATTTACTTGCAACATTGACTGCTGACCGCTTTTATATCTCAGAGGGAAAGAACCTTAAGTCCACGGGTTGTATCTGGCCCTGTGGACTTCCCCAGGTGACTACGCTCCCTTTACCTTATTATTTAGTAGTTTCCCAGTTTTTGTGCATTCCCCCTCCTGCATTATATAAGGTTGAAATGCCTCTACTAGGTTAAGGTACTAGGAATAGGAGCTTTAAAAATATGCTGCTATTTTTTATATTTTGCTCCAGCCCATTTTACCAAAGAAACTCATAACTGTTGTTAGCTGTTTCACTTAAAACAAGCTAAAGATGATTTGTTACATTTTCTGTTACTTATTTTAGAATCAGCGCATCATTTTTGTCTTTCGTGAATCATTCATTCTCAGAGACAGTGCTGAGATTTTAATATTCCCTACAAGATTGATTAACATGCTGAGAGACACATTTATTTTGAAATGTTTGCTGCCTAATAATCCATCTTTGTAGTAATCTGTTTTGTCAGCTGCGGGGTGCACGAAGGAATAATTGGACATGCCTTTGTTTTGCTCTGGCTACAAACAGGCTGTTTTGGAGAAACTGGAAAGTGAGCTGCAAGAGGCCAACCAGAACTTGCAGGCATTGAGGCAAAACTTCCTAGAACTCACTGAACTAAAGCACCTCCTCAAGAAAACTCAGGACTTCTTTGAGGTGATGTGATCTTTGAATATTCCATCAGTCTCTTGGAATGTAGTTCAGGTTCAGCTCAGGGTCAGACTGATTAGAACCACAGCATAATTTCCTTGGACAATTTCCAGACTTGAGGCACAGAGGCCTGCCTCTTTTACTTGTGTATAGTCTGTAATTCCTATCTATCGTCCCTGGGATCTCCATGCTGCTAGTTATGATGGTATCTGTTCCCTCCTGTTGCTGGCCGACAACCACATCCAGTTGGCCCTTCCCATCTGTACTCACGGAATCTGCACTCAGGCTATCAGTGTACTGGGTCAGGGGCATGTTAAGCATTCCCCTTCCTGCCAGCAAAAACTGCTCCTACTGCAGTTAGCATTAGGGGAAATATCTCCCATTGGCACCAGTGGGAACAAAGACTCTTTGTTGAGAACCAACTTTGGTCAATTGAAGACCAGACTGGGGAAAGTCTTTTGGGAGAGGGTACTGGAAGGCAAGGGAGTTCAGGAGGGGTGGATGGCACTCAAAAGGGAGGTCTTGGAGGTGCAAGTCTTGATGATACCGCTAGTTAGTAAGGTGGGGAGGCGAAGGAAAGCACCGCCATGGATGTGAAAGGAGGTGCTAAGAAGGATTAGACATAAGAGGAGCCCCCATTGGAAATGGGCACTGGAGCAAGTAGACAAAAGGGTATACTGGGAGGAGGAGGCCCATTGCAGAAGGATTCTTCGCAAGGCTGGGACTGAGCTGAGACTTGCAAAGAATATCAGGAGCAATAAAATGGCTTCCATCAACATGTAAATAGCAAGAGGAAAGGGAGACAGGCGGTGAGATCACTTAATAAGGAAGAACTGATGTGAGGGAACAGGCACAGATGCTAAATGACTATTTCACCTCTGTGTTCTCTCCAAAGCAGGATGGGGGAGATCTACATGCAACCGGATGAGGCCAGGGATTTAGGAGCACAGATTAAAGTCACCCCCTCCCCAAGAAGTCAAGGAGCTCCTCAGGGGCACTGGATGTTACAAAGGCACTAGACCCTGATGGTTTACACCCAAGAGTACTTTGGAAATTGGTGGGGGTCCTCTCGCGCCCGCTGGTCTCCATTTTTGAGGCATTGTGGAGAATAGGTGAGGTTCCAGAGGGCTAGAGTGTGGCATCAGTGGTCCCAATTTTCAAAAAGGGTAGTACAGGGGACATGGAGAATTACAGACCAGTTAGTCTTACATCCATTGTAGGAAAGACAATGGGAAGCCTTATAATAGTGAGAGATCTAGTAACCCTAGATAGGGACGGGAGGTTGGTGGTCATGCAACATGGCTTCCGCAAAAACAGGTCCTGCTAGACGAACCTTGTGGAATTCTATGACAGGCTTTTGAGGTGGCTAGATGGAGGGGGCACAGTGCGTGCAGTTTACCTGGATTTATTCCTTTCTTTTAGACAGAAACTAATTTGCCTGATGATTTCTTCAATGAAGACACCTCAGGATTGTTAGAGCTGAGAAGTAGTCCTGCAGCAGTAGCTGCAAAACTGGGGTTAGTGATATTCCTGCTGGTTTATTTTTAAGAAGGGCACATACTGTGTTGGGGTCATCTCCAAGCACCTCATTGAAATGAATGAATGGCAACTCAATGGCTTAGGAGAGTTTGAGGAGACTTTCCTTTCTCCTTCTCTTCCTTCCAGGGTGTACATCTGAACCACAGACTCAGACTAGTTCTATAGCCTAGTCCTTTCTCTGGGGGGCTCTGGGAGATGTACAGAAGCTTCAAGTTCTCTAACAGAGAATTTGTGGCACCCACACCAAACTATATTTTCCAGAATTCTTTGGTGGAAGTCCATAACAGTTAAACTGATTTAAAGTCACTGTAAAAAGTTTATCATGCAGCTTACTGAATCATCAATCTGCCAAGAAAGGGAAGATAAAGCAAAACTCACCCACACACATACACATGCACTTCTTCCAACACAACCACATTTTTGCACAGAAGAACAGGAAATTCTGTGCTCTAAAAAATTAAAAAATAAAATGAGTACAGTTTAATTAATGTTTTCTGCTTCGGTAGCTCAGGTTTTCAAAGACCTGGAAGGCAACTGGTATAAAATTAATATACATTTGTAGTGCAGTCAAGTCAGTACGTTGTTTGGGAATTAGGATATGGAAGCAGGGGCAACACATGCTTTCCTTTTAGTTTTTAGATTTTAGATAAATTGAACAAGCTGCTTCTACTAAATGGTGAGCCTCTTGCAGGGTCATCTCATGAAGTATATGATTAGTGAGACACAGTTTTACAGGGCTGATAACTGTCTTTTCAGTCCTTCGAAGGGGATTAAATGTAGTGATAACTGTCAACTTGGGCGGCTTTAAAAGGGAATTAAAGCCAATGTCAATGGCTACCAGCCATGATGGCTGCACCTGACCTCTGGTAGCAGAAGCAGTGTTCCTTTGAATACCAGTGGCTAGAGAACATGAGCAAGAGGGTGCTAATACTTGTGTCCTGCTTAAGGACTTCCCACAGGCAGCTGGTGCCTGGCCACTGTGGGAAAAAGGCCAGGCTAAATGAACTTTGAGTCTGATGCAGCATGAACCACCTGCTTGCATAGCTATACATTGAGTCAGCATGTCCAGTCACCTTTGCTAAGCTGGAAAAGCACCGTCCTACAGCTGGATGGGTGACTCCATGCATGCTGTGCTCTTCTTGGTGTTCTTATGGAAGGGGTGGGTAGAATGATAATTTTGCTTCTTGAACTAGGGATAACATTTAACCAGAAGACTCATAATGTTTCCATTTTGGTTTTGTTCAGATTCATAGCAGGCGTGATCAAAAGGGAACGGTTGGTACCATTTGAGCGTTTGCTGTGGAGAGCCTGCCGCGGAAACATCTATCTGAGGTTCAGTGAAATGGATGCAGTTCTGGAAGATCCTATCACTGTAGGTGCAGAGGGTTTTTGTTCATTTAGTCACTTCTATTTCGGTATACCATTTTGTGTTTCATACAATGTGATATTAAATGGCTAGCATAGGATTTGCTGGGCTGTAGAAGTATTTTAACGTTCTTCTGTCATTGTATTTCTTTCCTCCAGAAAGAAGAGATGAAAAAGAATGTGTTCATTATATTCTATCAAGGGGAGCAGCTCAGACAGAAAATCAAAAAGATTTGTGATGGGTAAAAAAGAGCTTTTGAGAAAACAGCATTTTGACTCTAATGGATGAAGTGTTGTATCGATTGTGACCCACAGTAATGGGGATGGAAGTCAGTGTCTGATTTGGAGTGAAATTCAGATCCTATTTATATGCATGTGGGATCAAACCCGGGCCAGCCTGCTCCACGCCCTGTGGCACGCCCACCCCATTCCTGCCTGTCATTTGTGTGCAGAACTCCGGGCCTTGTATTTGTGGTATGCAGGTGGGGGAGCTGGATCTATGCACACTGGTCTGTAGATACACAGGCCTATATGCAGCCATGGGATTAGGTGCAAACCGAGGGCCCAAGCCTTGGCAGAAAAGATAATTCTGCACCTCCCTGCACCTCCCAGCTGAGAGGTCTTACATTTTTTTCTGTCTACACATGCACTGGATTGCACCCTGAGGTGTAATTAAGGTAGTCAGTTTTAGCCCCCACTGAAATCTGTAAGAGTTAAGCCAGGTGTGGCTAATGCTTCATACTGATATTAGTGGGACCCACATGCGGCTTTGTCTGGATCCAGCGCTGCAAATGCAAAGTGCAACTGTCAGGTGGGGGAAACAAATCTCAGTGATGGACAGTTTGGCACAATCCAAGCTGCCCACCCAGTTTAGGATTTTAACTTCTGCATACGGATTGGCAAACACTTCTTGGCCTTGGCTTTGGCTTTGGCTTTGGCTTTGGCTTTGGCTTTGGCTTTGGCTTTGTTTGCAGCATTGCAGTCGCTTCCAGTAATTCAAGTCCTCTTTAATCATTTCCTTTCTTGATGATATTCAGAAATGAGTGTCCAGTTCATCAGAGCAAAACAGCCCTATGATAACACACCTGAGGGAAGTGCCCCCATGCTCAGGGGAATCTGGCACTGCCGAAAACAGCATCCATGCCAGCTCTGTCTTGCCATCCAGGACCTTCTATCCACTGGTCAATAGTCCAGTCTAAACCATTGTACCAAGAGCCAGGTGCATTGCAAAAGTCAAGCGCTCTCAGTCATGCACATAGGAAGGAGCTCCACTCTTTCCCTCAGTCATTAGCCAATTTGACCCAGGCAGGGGATCTTCCTGACTGGCAGTTATGGCAGTTTTTCAGATCCGAGCATGAAGAAATCCACCTGCTGTGCAACATCCCACCTTGTAGGTATGGGCTGGATATGAACAGCTTAGAATCATGGAGATGCTGGCACAGGGCAACTGCAAACAGCAAATACCTTGCAGAAATTAGAAATGTGGAACAGCCTTGCCACTCCAAAGCAGGCTCGTCAGTTTATTATGATGCTCCTCTGCCTCTTATTTTTATGAGAACTTGTCCTTAATGCCACACTGCCAGTGGTACATTCATAGGCAGAGTCCTTCAAAAGAAAAGGCAAAATAAAATTCCAGGCATTTTGCCCATCCTCTTCATAGGCACTTGTGAGCACTTGCTTGTTTATATGAATGCTGCAACTGTTTGATCAATGTGAAGGCTCCTCAGTGAATTCTCCTGGAGGTTTCCTAGATGCATGTGTCATTAGAGTAAAAGTGACATTCTGCATGCAAAGGGACCAACTGGAGATCAAATCCACATTAGCGTGATAATGTGTGTGTGTGGGGGGGGGGGGAAGGAATGGGGGTCAAAGGCTCTGGGCAGCAGTAAAAAGGAATAATCTTTCAGGCATGATTAAATATGAGCTAATAACTCCAACACATATGAAGCAGAGATCATAATGAAAGGGAGCTAAGAGTCTTGAGTTGCCCTCCCTCTTCCAGGTAATTTTTAGAATATTTTGATGGAGATACCATTTCAGAGTTAGAACTGGAGAGAAAAATATTTTGGATTATAGTCACAATTGCTTAGAAGTGATTCTATGGACTCTCAAAATGACTTGAGGAAAGACACAGTTGTTGAACAAGTTCATGTTGGCAGTGTAAACAGGTCTTGCGGAAGAAAGAGTAGTCTTCTGTGGTGAGCACAGGGAGAAGGGGAAGAGTACAGAGGGGCTGCAGCACAAAAGTTTCAACGTTCATCTCCTTGTAGGATGAGGAAGGAGTCCTGTCTTAAACTCTGGAAAGTTGGTGCCAGTCACTGGACAGCACTGGGCTAGGATGAAAAAATGCCCGGACTTCATATATAGTGAATGGAATGGAATGGAATGGTTGGAAGGAGCCTAGAAGGCCACTGGGTCCAACCCCTGTTCAATGCAGGGCTCAAGTCTCCCACCCAGATACTAACAAGGCCTGATTCCTGCTTAGCTTCTGAGATTATGCAGGATCAGGCCCTGCAAGCAATATCCTCGTGTAGCTGTTTCTTCCTGAAATTGAAGGCGCGAAGGACTTTTGTGGATTGTTACCTTCCCCTTGGGTTCTTGGTCATGCATATGCAAGGACGGTCTCATGATCCGGTTTTGGTCTGGCAAATGATCACTGCTCCATGCCTCACTGGGCAAAACACGCAGGGTTTCCAGATGGCTCCAGCCTTCTCATGATTAAACATTTCCGGCTATGACATTGTTTTCATTGCTGGACTCTGATTTGAAAAAAAATAAGTAATTTAGGACACAGCTAGAACATAGTGGAAACTTTCCACTGAAAATTTATAGAGTCCTGGGTCAATTTCCCTATCCCCCTACCTAAATCAACAAACTGGGTTACACCCAGAAGATGGCAACTGAGGTAGTGAGAGATCTGGACCCCAAGTTCTCTGAGGAACTGTTGGAAAAGCTGGCTTGATTTAGCTTGGATAAGAGGAGCACGGCTGGTGTCACAGTGGGGCATGGTTGGCCCCTCCCGAGGGCCCATGTGATGGGGGTCCAGCTGAGGAGATCCTCTTGGAGTTGCTTGTCCTCTTCATTGTTGCTACCTGTCGGTTCACCTGCCTCTCGCTCTGGCCCACCCAATGGTGGTGATGAGAAGGTACACCAGCCGATGCCCCAGCCTGCTTGTTCATGGGTTGTCAGTCAAGCAAGCAAGCATGCATATGATGAAGAAAAGGATGAGGAGCGGGGAAGTGGAAATCAGCAACCGTGAAGCTCACCAAACATCTTTGAAAACTTTCTTGAAACTTATTCTAGCTTAAGTCTCTATGGGATTGTGAGCTTTGTTGTTTTTTACATGAAAATCCTCGCATATTTTCCAAATGTGCACATGAATTGTTCATGGCATTGAAATGTATGCATTCATCTCTGATGTATGCATTCCTCTTGTGCACATTTTAAAGAATATGCATTTTTCATGTTCATTTTTCAAAAGGATAGATGCTGTCAAACACATTTTCCTTAGCCTGTGAATCACACTGCAGTCTTGAAAACATACAGACTTTGTCTGCAGATTGCATCTGAATCTGTGCTTGGTCTGCAAGGTGTGAACAGAGTAAATCCTGCTCAAAAATAAACTGAAATGAATTCTCATGCATCCCTAATGAAGAACACGAGCAGCTGGTGACGGTAACAGAAGGTAGACTCACAGAGGGAGGAGGCTGTTGAGGGGTGTCTTGCCCAAGGGCCCACAAAAACTAGAGCAAGCATTGAAGGAGAGGCTGAAAGGGGAGTCTTAAAGCATCTGGTGGGCTGTCATGCAGGCAATGGAGCACACTTGTTTTCTGTTGGGCAGAATTAGGACGTCAGAGAGGCAGATTTCAGCTGGATGCAGGTGAAACTTCCACACTGTAAGACAATGGAACCAGCTGCCTTGGGAAGGGATAGGCTCTTCTTCGCCGAGCGTATTCAAGAGGAAGATGGATGCCCATCTGTCAGGGATGTAGCTCATCCTGTATTGCAAATCATGCATTAAGCAGGGAGTTGGACAAGTTGGCCCCAAGACCCCTCCCAATGTTGGGATTCTATGATTAATCCATAACCTGGGGTTTTTATGTGCTGCGTTTCTCCATTCTTTTTGCCAGTAGCCACTGATGCAGAGCAGACCTGGGGAAATACTTTGTAATAATGCTAGGTTATTACAAGAGGAGCTGACAGTTCAGAGATAGCATGAAAAATTGAGATTGAAAAAGTCACCATTTCTTCCTTATAATGTATTATTCTCTCCCACTGCCCCATGCCTTTACCTGCTTTCCCCAACCTGGTGCCCTGACATGCATCTTCCATCCTCTCCAGACAGTTTGGCTGATGATGTTCCTTAATGTTAAAGGACTGATCTCTCTTCCACAAGGATCTTGGGTTTTCAGGGAGGAAAAGCCCAAAGTAGATCCTGTGAGCTTAACATCTGCCCACCCCTACCCTACATGTTGGCTTTTTAGGGTGGACTTGTCATACCATATAACTATTCCCTTGTGCCACATTCTCACAAATCCATTGTTCCCTTGTCACTGTCGCCTTGAAAAATGTTTTCACTCTTAGCTGTGCAGAATATCCATAAAAGCCAGTTCCAGCGGTAACCTTGGACAGCTTGGCTGCAGAACTTCAGCCCCATGAGCCAAATACAACCTTTTGGGGTCCCAGACTGGCCCTTGGGGTTCCTCATATGGCCATGCCCTCTTTTCCCACACACAGATCATTTGGTGGTTTTCTGGCTTGTGTGTGTGTGTTTAATTCTAAACTTTTAAATGCACCTCTTCAATCTTAGTTACTGGTTTTTAGTTGAAATAGCCTGGAATTGTTTGCATTTTGTCTTCACCCCTTTGCCTTCAAAGAGGGACCCAAGGAGAGTGGGTGACATCCTCCATGAGCCCCTCCCTTGACAAGGCTGCCTTCCTTAGCCTCTCTTGGAGTGGACAGGATATCCTTTGTCTGCTCTGTTTATTCCTGTCTGGCCTGCTTGTAGCTCCTGTGCTGCTTCTTCTGAGTGGCCCAATTCGGTTGAATGGAAATGGGGCTGTTGTCGGGAGTGGGGGAAGGAGAATGGGCGAGCTCCTCTTCTTCTTTTGCATCATTGCTGCCACCTGCTTGCTAGACAGGCCGAGAACTAGAGAGCAAGTCGGCATGGGAGTTGTAGCTTTTCCTCCTCTGCACCTCCATTGCCTGGTTCAGTGCAAGAGGCAGGCAGACAAGCTGGCCTCAAAGTCAAGAGGAGGAGTGACTCAGAGGGGCCCTTGCTAGTAGGCGCCTGCTGAAGTGTGGTCCCTTGGCAGCCGCTCAGCCACCTCTAGCTTTGACGCATGCCTGATGGGAGCATGTTGTTTTAGTGTGCAGCGCATGTCATGGCCTTGCTTTGATTTGTCGTGATTCCTCACCAGGTTCCGTGCCACAATGTACCCATGTCCAGAGTCAGTTGCAGAGCGCCGGGAAATAGCTGCTGGTGTGAACACAAGAATTGAGGATCTTAACACGGTAAACAGCTCTTCTGCTGGTGTCAGCATGCAGCATCCCCACACACATGCTGGAGCCTGAGCAGCCTCGCAGGGCCTGCTGGGAAGCTGCTTTGCACCAAGTCCATCTAGACCAGCACTGTCAACACTGACTGGCAGCCACTCTCCAGGGTTTCAGACAGGATTCCTCCCTAAACTTACCTGAAGATGCCAGGGGATGGACCTGGGAAATTCACTGTGCCACAACCCTTCCTCAAGCCTCAGCCTTTCGCTTTTAAAACATGGGGCTAGGCAACACAACTGCTGGGAATTCCCCAAACAATTGGCAGGCAAGGGGAGGGACCATGGCTCTCTAGGGAACCCCAGATGGGGCATGTTGGGGCTTTCAGAGGACTGGATTTAGCTCCTGTGCACTGTTGACCTAAGTATGTGTCCATTTCCTGCTTGCAGGTGATCACCCAAACAGAGACCCATCGCCAGGGGCTGTTGAAAGATGCGTCTGCGAACCTGTGGAGCTGGGGGATCAAGGTGAAGAAAATGAAGGCTATCTACCACATCCTGAACTCTTGCAACATCGACGTCACGCAGCAGTGTGTCATCGCTGAGATCTGGTTCCCTGTGTTAGACACAGGCAGGATAAAAAGAGCTCTGAATAAAGGAATGGTAAGATGCTCCACCTAGAGTTCTCAAGTTAATTTCCAGAGGCTCCTCATCAGCTTGCTTTGGACAAAGGGCTCGGTGGTAGAGGCCCTGCTTTGTGTGCGAAAGGTCCCAGGCACAGCCCTGGCATCTCCAAGCAGGGCTGGGAAACACCCTTAGCAGAAATTCAGGAGCATTGTTACTAGGAATAGGCAAGGAATCTACTTGCAGGGATCCAAATCCAGTGGATGAACCCGCCTGAGCCTCCCAGATCCTCCCAGATAGTGCTGGCTGGTTTACCTAGCACCTCTTTCCTCTCAGTCTAGCACAAGTGGAGACAGTACATGGTCCTTCACTTTTAAGAAAGGCCACCATTTCTATGCACTTTCCTTTGAGAGGGAGGGAAATTTGTGCAAAATGTGGCTGTACAAGTCGTTTTCCACAATTTTCATAAAAAGAGTTGCCAATTGCATAAATTGTTGCTGTATTTTATACAGATTTCCCTGCCTCTAAAATAAATCCACAAATCCACCTTCTTGGAAAGTGGACACACTCTCCTCCCCAACACGGTCTGCTTTTGGCCCTTGAACTGGTATAGTGCATGGAAGTCTGCTGAACACATGGGCAGAATTCCTCAGTGTCACCCACTTCTTGTTGCTGCCAGCCATCGCAGACCAGCCTTCTCCAACCTGTTGTCTTCCAGGTGTGCTGGTCTGCAGCCCCCATCATCCTCAGTCAACCATGCCAATGTGCATCATGGTGGGCAATGATGAGTCTGCAGACCAGGACAATAGAGGGCAGGCAACTACAAAAGGTTCGTATTAATGGTATTGAGTTGGAGGGGAAATTGGCTGGTATAATGGCATTTCCTGCCTTTCCAATGCTTTCCAAATCCAAATGTATCCATTTTCACTGCTTTCTTGCCCTTGAGACCTTTTCTAAGCATGCCTTCCCTGGAAACCGGCCAATTCTGATGCAACTTTTTTTTTGAGGGTGGGGTACCTGTTGCATCTGATTGCAGCAAAATCTATGGGGCTGTTGTGGGAGAGTTCCACGATCAAGTTCAACTCGCACCCTGATGCCACTCAAAAGTTCCCTGCAAAAGCCAAGAAGGATCTCGCATTCCGATGAACAAATATGGAGGCTGTAAATGGTAGAAGAGTGCAAAAGTGCCCATGATCCCTCCCTTGGGTGGTGACTCTTTTCAGCCTCTGGCCCCAAGAGGTGTTCCTGCACGGACAACATGACATCCAACAGCAGTGCTGACCCCCAGTTTTTGTGTCCCTTGAGTAAGACCATCTCTTCAGGGGCCCCCTTCCTCAGCGAGTCTGGCTTCTCACTGCCACTGCCACCAGCTGCTCTTGGTCCTGCTCTTTTTCATCCACTTCATTGACCCACCTGGTTGGAAGAGAGCCAGAGAGCAAGGAGAGCATGGCATCTACTGCGACTCCTTTTCACCTGTGATGTTGCCTGAGCTGAAGTGAGAGGCAGGTGACGCAGCAGGAGGCAGTGGGGGAGACGAGGAGCGGCTCTTATCAGAGGGCCTCTCCTGGGGTCTCAGCTTTTGACAGGTGCCCAACGCACCTGTCCAACAGGGAGAAGCCCAAAGGATGCAGTTGATTTTCATGTGTCAGCAAAGACCCTCTGCAGATGTGGTGTCCATATGTGCCCGAGGCAGGACACATGCATCCCGTGTGTGGGACAGAGCAAGCTCCTTCTTTCTCTCCCTTTTCCGCTATGTGTTGCCTCTAAGCTCTTCTGGGCCAGGCCGTTATCACATATGGATAATCTTCTCTGGCAGAAAGTCTTTATGACACGGGGTGGGTGGGAAATGAATACAGCTGCTGTCAGTTTGGCAATAGCTAATTTTGGAAAAACTATAAAAGGAGTGTGTGACCCTTGGAAAGGATATTCAAGACATGTGGAGGACCAAGCAAATATTCTGTAGACTGCTGGCAGAAGGTGTTTTGAGTTTTCTTTGCGTGGGTGTGTTTTGCTGGTGCTATTTACTAATGCCTGAACTTTGCCCTGGGAGTTGCTGCAAAACTTTCTATCGCAATTGACCTGTCTTACACACTCTCATTGTTAACATGTTAACAGCTCAAGACCTAGGCCGCCTTCACGTGCTTCTCACATGTGAACAATGTTCATAGGGCTGTGGAGCTGCAACCTTCCCAGCCGTGGGCATTGGCCGTACTGGCTGGGAAGTATGGGAATGGTAGCCCACACCTCAGAAGGGGTCCAAGCTGGGGGAACTTGTCTTGGAGGGTGAGACTGGAAGAAGTGCGAAGGGGCTCCAGGGGCACAGCCTTTGCTGGTGAGTTTGGGAGGTCCACTTTGCTTCAGACATAGAATCCCCTTTCAGTCTTGAAAAGTGTGAGTTGGGATTCTACTGTAAATAAATGAAACACATGGTATCTTGGACTGGTTTTGCTTTACTCTGTAATCCCCTCTCTAAACCCACACTGCAAATTAACCAGTTTAATGGCCATGGGTTCTCTTGCAAACATCTCTGGGAATTGTAGTTTAGGGAGAACACTCAGGATGTCTTTCAGAAAAGTCTTTTTGGCCACCTCCAAAAGTCTACAATTCCCAAGATTCTTTGCTAGATGCCATGTCACAATGAAGCCAGTTTTAAAGCCAGTGGTGGTATGGATATGACGGTACTCATCATCATTCTGATTGTAGGAACGCAGCGGCTCTGCAATCAACCCAATCCTGACCACTATTCAGACCAAGATGTCTCCTCCTACCTTCAACAGAACCAATAAGTTCACCTCAGGTTTTCAGAACATAGTTGATGCCTATGGAGTGGGTAATTACAGAGAGATAAATCCAGGTAAAAGTGTTCTGCTTTATTTCGGGGGTACCAAGTTTCTCAGATTGAGATCTTGGCAGGAACGCCAAGAGCCTTCATCCTGGGAATTCCACTTATGCCAACATCCATGAGGGCAGTTTCCTTGACATGCAGTGACTTTGGTAGAGCAGATATTTTATTGGGAAATATAATAATACAGATTCTGTAGATTCTTTTTATTATATGCTGTTGAAAGGGCTAAGTAGATGGAGGAAAACATGCAACCAACAAGCACACATTTCTTACCAAGCAGCAGTGCCCAGTTCAGAAGACAGCCACTGTGATGGACTATTATTCCCAATTCTGGTAGGGAGAATGCCTGTCCTCTTTTTTGGGGGGGATACCTCCCCCAAAAAGAAAATCTCAGTGTAATATGATCAAGGAACAGCATTTCTTTGCAGTGTGTCTTCAAAGAGTTTGTGACAACTCAGTGTAACAGCACCACCCGGTGATTCCATTTGTGATAACACACATTTTAAAGTTCTCAGATGCTGATTTCTGTACATGTGGAAGTCAGTACAGTCAATGTTTGAATGTTTCATTCTCCCCATCCCAGCCCACATTTTCACCAAAGCTGCTCACCTGCAGCTTTCCAAAATCAAGTAGTAGAGGCAGGGATGTTGGTGAAATCCTCACTGGACTCAAATGAGATTCAGAATTCTATACATTCAACCTGTGGATCCTGCAGAAGACTGACTTCCTCTGAGTCATGTGGACCTGCAGACTTGCTTTTCACTTTTTTGTGCTGGGGGGTGGGGGGGAGGATTTGTGCTAATTTGCTTTAGTGCTAATATGAACTATTGTGAGTAGAACAAAATTTGGGTTTATTTATTTATTTAAAACATGTGTATTCTACCCACAGCATCTCTGGGCAGCTCACAATCGCAAGATAAAAAACCACAAGATAAAAACCACAATAAAACCAATTACAACAATTAAAAAATGCAATACGAATAAAATACAAACAAAAATACAAAACAAAGGTCTAGAGGCATCAGCTATTAACATTTTTTTTTAAAAAAAGGAAGGTCTTTGCCTGGTGTTGAAAAGAGTATAAAGGAGGATCCAGGTGAATCTCCTTGGCGAGAGCAATCCCCTTCCTTTTGCAGGAATCAACTGATAGGCTTTCCGTTCCCCACAGCCCCCTACACGATCATTACCTTCCCTTTCCTCTTTGCGGTGATGTTTGGAGATTGCGGCCACGGCACGGTCATGCTGGCCTTCGCTCTTTGGATGATCAGCAACGAGAAGTCCCTCTTAGCCCAGAAGAGCACCAACGAGGTGGGTGGCCTCAAGGGGAACTGCAGTCTTCAGGGTGTCCTTAGTAAACTTGATTCTTTCCAAACCAGTAATACTGTGGGGAGAACAAGGGAGTGGAGAGCCAGTGTGATATACTGACTGGAGTGCTGGACTGGGGATGTGGGAGATCTGTTCTAGTCCCCACTCAGCCATGGAGGTCATTGCGTTACTTTGGGCCAGACACTGCCTGACCTACTTCACAGGGTTGTTGTTGTGGGGATAATATGGAGGGGAGATGAACCTTGTAAGTTGCCTTGGGTTACTTGCAAGAGGAAGAAAGATGCAATGTTATAATAATACCCCCTTTAGATCAGCCCACTCCCCAACCTAGCCCAAAACATCTTGGGGCACCAAGCTGTGAACGGCTGATTCAGGCAGAGGGGCACCCAGTCTGTCAGGGCCCCAACTGTTTGGGGCATGTTTGGAATTTCGAGAGTATCGGGGGCATTCTCACAAAATATCTGCCTTGGAAGGAGGCTTCCCCATTGATAAAGCTGGGGCTGCAGAAGGCAAGAATGACTGCAAAACATGCATTATCCAGAAGGAAAGCTGCTGAGACTGGGAGAAAAGTAACCGGACTAAAAACCTAATTAATGAGCAGAGTTGGGCTGTGAACTCCAAAACACAAGATCACACTTTTGAACCTAAATAAGATGTTGCTGGGAGGTAGCACATGGCTTTGCAACATGGCAGCCACCTCAATAGAAATAATAGCCCAAGAAATAAAATAAAAATCAGGAGGAACAGAGAACTACGTAGGTACCAACAGAGGTGTCTGTGGAACACCAGTACCCACAGGCACCATTTTGGAGACCTTGGCTCTGTACTGTTCCTGAAGAACTTTGAATAACCTGGCTCTTGAGAGCCAGGGTTGTGTAGTGGTTAACAGGTATGGACTGGAACCTGGGAAATCTGGGTTCTAGTCTCCTCTGCACTATGAAGCTCAGTGAGTGACTTTGGACCAGCCTCTGCCTCTCAGCCTAACCTGTCTCATAAGGGTTGTTGTGAGGATAAATGGAGAAGAGGAGAACCTTGTAAGCTATGCCAGGCTCTTTGCAAGAGGAAGACAGGCCAGGATATAAATGCAGCAATACTGATTGCCAACATCCTTTTCCTATGCAGATCTGGAACACCTTTTTCAGTGGCCGCTACCTGATCCTCCTGATGAGCATTTTCTCCATCTATACTGGCTTCATCTACAATGATTGCTTCTCCAAGTCATTCAACATATTTGGGTCTTCCTGGCATGTCCGCCCCATGTACAATAACGGCGGATGGACGTAAGTGGTAAACTCCAGGTTCGTCACCTGGGCTAGATACATTACATGCGACTGCTGCCAAAAAGAGTCACACGTCCATTTCCCCCAGTCCTTCCGTAATGTCTTGAGGAACTAACATCAGGTCATGATGTCACAACAACATGCTGCATTTCCCTGTCCTTGGGACAAATATCTGGAACATATACTCATCAATCATAGCACCCTTTTTCAATGGCAAAGATCACTTCTGCCTTGTGCCTTTGCTTTCCCTTGACAGCTTTTATTTTGACAGCTGTCAAGAGGAAGCAAAGGGGGAGAATGTATTGAGAGTCTCTTTGGCACCCGATCTAGTGTTGGTTCCTGCTGTGCTTTGGCAGAAGGCACCCTCCATAATGTCTCAGCTGCAGTTTCAATGTGCAAACCCATGCAAATACGGCTGTGCAAATGCAGCTATTTTTTAGCAAATGAATTAGCCTTTTTGCCCACATTTTGTGTGCACATTTTTAAAAAGAAAGCTCTGGTAACCATTGACAGTCCCTCCGCAGTGCTGCTTGGGCACCCTAAAGGGCTGCCAGTGGCAGTGAAAATAGGGCTTGCAAAAGTCGATTTCAACAACCCACCATTGCTTGTCTTGTGTGAACCAAACGTCATGGTACCAGAACATGGGTTAAGTTCTGGTAGGCAATTCAGGAAGTAAAAGGGGCAGTCTTTGAGCCTGATGATCAAAGGGAAGGCTAAAGCTGATGATGCAAAAATAAGAATAAGCACGAACTCAGCCAGAGTAAGCAGTGTCCCAGTGTTAATTGGTGTTTCTGTTTTTTACTCATCAAGCCGTGATGAAAGTCCATCTCACATCTGGGGGTAGGCTAACCATCTAACACTTCTCTTTTCTTTCCCTGTTAGGGATGAAATTGTGCATTCCCATGAGTACCTTCAGCTGAACCCAGCACATCCAGGAGTGTACTCTGGAAACCCTTATCCCTTTGGGATCGATCCGGTAATTTTAGAAAGATCCCCGCATGTCATTTATCTGGGTGTGGATCATAAGAAACGAATAGGAGCCCGGTTGTTAAAGCAACTTAGAGTTTTCCAGGAACGCATCATCAACTTGAAGTTACTCAGAGGACTGCAGTTCTAGGACCAAGCCTGAGGCTTCTAGTGTTGTCATCTTTGTCTTGTAGGGTGCAAGACAGAAAGATTTCCTTCAGCTGCCAGCATTTTTATAGCAGGCTGGGAAATGTTGGGAGTTGTAGGACTGCTTTCTCACTAAACCTACGTATGACGGAAACTTTAATAGCTGAAACTGTAGCAGAAATTCAGCTGGTTGAAGGTTTTTCCTTCACTGCATCACCATGGTGGGGAAAAGCTTTGCTTGTTGAATTTCTGCCTGCTGTGCACTATGACTACATGAAATGTTTGAGGTTAAGGGAGTGGCTGGCAGCTGAATTTAAGGACAAATCTTTTAGTGAGACGTACTTTAATGAGCCAAATTCATGTGGACAGATTCCAAAGTCATGTGGGAGAAGCTTTTTCCCCATATCTAATATTTATTGATTGGCTGATACATACATACTGTACCAACTATATAGGGAATCTTACAGATGTACATGGGCATTTTGTAGACAGATCAAGAATCCTATCTGTAAGTTAAAACGATAAGAAAATGACCAATGGAGAAAGAGAGGAGCATAGAGAAACAAGTGAGCAAAATCAGATGTGATTACAAACTGTTCCTGGATTACGGACCAAAATTTGTCTTTCAGTTGAATTTGTATGTAAGTTGGATTACTTTTAGTCAGCCCTTCACATTTTCAGGGCTTGGGGGTGCAAGGCCCCCATGAAAGTGGAAAAACTGCAAATATCTCTATTCCTTCGCCCCCACTGCCCAAACTCACCAGTGCCTCCTCTTTGAAGCAAGGAAAAGCCAGAGAGATTTCCTCTCTGGGTGAACCGAGCAGGAAGGCCTGCTTTGGAGGCCTCCCTCTCACCGCTTTCACTTTTTCTCTCTCTGTGATGATGAAGATTTTCCACAGTAGTTGTTTAAAAATTAATAGGCTTTATGGCAGTTTGTTTATAAGTACGGGTTGTTCCTAACTTTGACATTTGTAACCTGGGGACTGCCTGTATATATCTTCAAAGCTTTGCTGCCATTAAGGTTACTGTAGGGTTAAGAGGATAAGTTAAAGAACATTCAGGAAAGTGGATTTTGAAGAATGAGAAGGGGTTCTAAGGTTATTCTAATGTTCAGCTGGGAAAAACTCCAGGGGTTGTAATAATAGACAAAATATTCAATGGGTTTGAGCTAGTTTCATGAGGCATTTAACAGATAAATATGGCCTGCAAATAGTGTGCAGTAGAAATGGGGAAACAATCTGGCAATTCCAAATTCCAAATCTTACTCAGCTGGCCTTAGTATTTTAAGGCAAGGCAACTCAACAGTGTATTCTATGATTTAGATTTAAGAAGAATGATGCCACAGGAAATTCAACATTTTATTTTAAAATGGCTAAAGAATATGCATATGTGTTTGTGAAATATGTACCCATGGGGGGAAAATATTACAACTTTAAAACTGCCCACTCAAATTGGCCAGGGATGTATCCATTCCTTTTGTTAGTTATTAACTTTTATGAAACTATCCTTTTTAAAAAAGTGGAAATGTTTGTACAGAAAAAATGTAATGGTAGAACTTTTTGCACATCAGTTTCCATTCCATGAAATACTTGTTCAGGCTGTTCGGTAGATGTACAAGAAAATTTCCAACCGGATTTCCAACACTGGGTGATTGTGATAATGGCAGCTGGCCACGAGGTGGCAGCATTGACTGAAAATTGGATGGCTCCACTCTGAGTTGTAGCCTTGCAACCTCATCATGATTTCTTTAATGAATGGTTTTCCCATGCCGCCTTCCAGCCAAAACGACTTGGCAGAAAACCTTCCAGGCATAGATAATAGAATTAAAACAATTTAGAAGTTTTCGAGAGGGCACCAACATCATTAACTGCACCAGGGTAAGGCAATTCTCTGCCTCCAGAGGTTTGACAGCATATGCTAAAGTTTCAGCCTTTCTTGGGATTTTTACTGTTGATTATGTCCAATTGCTTTTGTCCGTAACATTTAAATATTACATTATCTATTAATAAATCTTATGCACCATTTAACACAAACATCTCTAAATGATTAAAATATGTTTAAATACACTACTAAAACATTATTAAAATAATTTCAATATCAGAACAATACTGTGCTTATAAATACACTATTTAACAGTTTAAAACTACAATAAAAATAAGGAATACAGGGAAGGAGGAGTAAGACGGAGCAATGTAAGAGTAGTTGCAATTACAAGCCAGAGAAGACCTTGGTGAGCAAGTGTATTTGCAGAAAGTGTTGGAAGCATACAATGATTCCAGGTCAGCGTGGCTCCTTATCCCTTGAAGCTTTTATTCTAAGTTTTATAGGCACTATCTATGGTGCTCTGGATAGTGGGGATGAAGATCAGTATCATGGAGAGCTCCTATAAAGCTACAATAGATGAGAAGCCCCACGGACATGGGAGTCACCGGCCCCCTAATGATGGGAGCTTTTCTGTTTGCAGAATGATGCAGTCTGAGTTCAGGATATTTCTGTAGCCCCACTGAGTGTTGCAGAATGGGGCCCTTTTTAAACTACGTGGGGAAATGCCTTATCTACAGGCATGGATCCTACAACCTTACAGACCCTCACTTACCTCCTTATCTTTTTCTCCAAGATCTGGAACATTGCAAACAACAAGCTGACTTTCTTGAACTCCTACAAAATGAAGATGTCTGTCATTATGGGGATCACACACATGGTCTTTGGGGTGATACTCAGTCTCTTCAACCATGTGTAAGTTTACTAATGCCTCGCAGTTGCAAACACGGCTTGTTGCAATAGAAGACTGCGAGCTGGAACTTTGGAAGCAAAGCCCTGTCTTATATCCTTGCTTTGGAGATTTCACGGTTGCAGGCACAGTGGCCTCAGATGGTCGCTGTCATTTCGTTAATGATCGCTGGTACCTCAAGCCTTATATTCATCTGGCCACATCTTTAGGTCCAGCTCCCTGATTAACAGCCCTGACCATTGCTGGGCTTGTTAGGGTCAGTCATCACCAGTAGCCCCTGATATACAAGCTTCTGCTTCTCTTTGGGAGACTTGGAAGCCAGGACCCGACCCAAGCTGCGACAGCAGTTTTTACTGCTCCACTCCTTCTGCCTCAGTGATTGGCTGCTATCCTTCCTGGCCACTATTTAAAAAGGGTGGACAACTAAAGGAACTTGTGCAGCCCTTGGAGCTTGCCCACCCAGGCCCACGTGGTCTGGGGTCTCCTTGATGGCCCAACCACTCCCCTCCTCGAGCCCGACCCTGGACACTATGGGTGTGACTTTGTGAGGAAGGAGGGAGTGAGATTCAGGGCCGTCTTAACCCATGGGCCTGATGGGCACTTGCCTGAGGGCCCTGTACCAATCTGTGTATGTTAACCCTTGGAAAACTGGAAAACTTCCAGAATTAACAGTAGTTGTAGTTGTCGCAGGGGCCCCAGGACACTGCTTTGCCCGGGGCCCATAATGCTGTTAAGACGGCCCTGGTGAGATCCCTTTCTGATCTGTGCTCGGAGGTACCAAAGGCATCAAGGAAGCGGCAGTTTTGCCTGCTCTGCTTCCTCCCCTCAATGGGAGGAGATGCAAGCCAGGGAGAGCCGCTTTGACAAGAGAAGTCCCACTGGCTGTGCAGCTGGCTGGCTGGCTGGCTGGCTGGCTGGCTGATTTATTTATTTATTTGAAGCCTTTATAGACCATCCCATTACTAGCATCTTGGAACAATTTATAACAAGCGCAGATAAAAATGGCACCGCATCCAGCAATTCACAATAAAATCACAATTAAAACCAATTAAACATTAACATAACAGGAGAATGAAAAGGTTTTCGCCTGGCACCATAAAGAAAAAAGCGTTGGTGCCAGGGGAGCCTCTCTGGGGAGCATATTCCATCATTGGGGTGCCACCACAGAGAAGGGCCTCCTCCAGGTAACCACCCTCCTGATCCCTTTCAGGGGGTGCTCCTGGAGAAGGACTTCCGCCTCAGATCTCAGGGGCATGGTTCCCGGCAGTCGCAGCAGGAGGGCTGTCTGACTGCCTGCTGAACCCAAATGACAGTGTGGGGTGGCCATGCTCTCGTTTCATTCAGGGCACAGAGATCTGATCTGGGTGGAGGGTCATCCGTGCTCCCCATCCTATTCTGTTCTACTGTAGAGCTTCCTGCTCGTATTAGCCGTATGCAATAGCACTTCGCTAACCGGATTCCTTCTTCTACCCCATCTCTTCCTGCTCCACGTGCTGCTCCCATTTTACTTTAGAGAGCTTGGGCCTTTCCTGGGAATGCTTAAAAAGCTCACAAAGATCTACCCTGTTCCAGAAGCTTCCTTGTCAGCCTGACACTGTTCCCAAGCTCCCCTGCAGCTGGTTTCTCTCCTTACCCTTCTTTTGCGGTTTTGCCTTTCCCTTTCTTCAAATGTTACTTTCCAGGGGCATCTGGTCTGGGAAATGAGACCATGTTGCTTACAGCACGGGTGGCCCTTGGGTCTCTTTGGATATTGCTGGGCTGCAAAACCTATTGTCTGCCAGTATGCTGTAATGGCTGGGGGTGATGGTACTTGTAATCCAACAACATTTGAAAAGCAACAAGCTCCTCTCTCTGAATTACAACATTCTGATTTATTATGGTGAGACCAGACAGTTCTGATCACAGCTGCTGAGTTCTGTTGGTATCGCAAGGAAGTCAGGCAATGACTTAACATGGCCCAGGTTTTCTTCTTCATTCCACACCAGCCTGTAACTCAGATGCAGGGAGCCTGTGACCCTCCAGATCAGCACCAGCTCTAGGATCTGGAGGACCCTGAGGCAAGACTCCCTCAATGGGCCTCCTCCTCCTCACCACCATCTGCTGGTGAGAAGCTGCTGTTGCTCCTCTGCTTTCTCATCCTTGCTACTGACTTGATTGCTTGACAGGTGAAGATCAAAGGAGCAAATAGGTTGCAACATCTGCAGCTCCTTTTCTTCATTACCGCTGTTGATTGGGCCAGAGCGAGAGCCAGGTGAATGATGCTGAGCAACTCCAGAAGTCTTTTGCCTTTGGGACCCTGCTGAGGTTGCGCAACTATGCCTACCCTGAACACCAGCCCTGTTCCAGACCTTATTGGACTACAACTGCCATCATCCCTCATGAGAATGGGTTCAACATATTTGGAGGGCTGCACATCATGAGTGGAGCTGGCTGGAGTTGGGGGTCAGGCTAGATGACCCAGGAGAACCCTTCCGACTCGCTCTGTTTCTTTGTCTCTTTGTTTCTATTCCCCACCAATTCTTTGCCTCCAAAGTGACCACTGACCTTCCACATTGCAACTTTTCCTTTTCTTGGCTTGTCTTTTCTCAGTTATTTCAGGAATACCATCAACATCATCCTGCAGTTCATTCCAGAGATGATCTTCATCCTCTGCCTGTTTGGTTACCTTGTTTTCATGATTATTTTCAAGTGGTGCCGGTACGATGCCAAAGGTGCTGAGTTTGCCCCGAGCATCCTTATCCACTTCATCAACATGTTTCTCTTTAGTTACAATGACCAGACGAATCGTCCCTTATACGAACATCAGGTAGGGACTTTTCGGCCTCCTTCCTTCATTTATTGAGCAGAATTGTTGATATGACGCTTTATCAGGATGCAACTCCGACGAAGGCAGCTTATGAAGAACTTAAACAATGACAAAGCAATAGTAGCATGTCAAGCTATATTGTTGACGGTTATTGGACTACAGCACTGCAGGCAGGCAAAGTCCAGGTGGAGCTTTTCTTCACTTAATACTTTCTTTCTCCTGAAGGCCTTCTCCCAGGATGGTCGATGGGAAGTGGTGCTGAGAGGGCGGTAGGGAGAAGTTCCCTGGGCCAGGCCAGCAATGTGCTGTCTCTTAGACACTCCCTTTCCCCCTGACCACTGATTGTTTCTTGTTTTCCTAGCTTTTGTGCATCTGTTTCCCCCATTCAAAAATACTGAAATGAGGCTTAGGCTCTGTCTATAAGAGCTTATACACCACTTAACACAAACATCTCTGAGTGATTAACCCTGTGCAGGTATAGACAGAAGAACGGTCCTACAACTCCCAGCATGCCCCAGCCAGCCAGGAATGTGTGTCTAAACTATAATTTTTGGTCCTGCCTGCTTTTGCCTACAGCGCTGCTCACCACTGGAATGCACTCTGGAGTGCTTATCTGGAATGGAATCAGGCCCCTGGACTGGGAGAGGTTCAGCACCCCGTCTCATGGGGCTGGCCTTTTTATGAGAGCCAGTGTGGTGCAGTGGTTAAGAGCATGGGACTGGGACTCAGACGATCTGGGTTCTAGTCCCCGCTCAGCCATGGAGCCAACTGGGTGGCTTTGGGCCAGTCACAGACTCTCAGCCCCACCTACCTCACAGGGTTCTTGTGGGGATAAGATGGAGGAGGAGAATGATGTAAGCTGCCTTGAGTCCTTTGTTGGAAAAAGGCAGGCTATAAATCGAAAAATAAGTAAGTAAGTAAATAAATAAATGTCCCATTAAAAGAAAACCATGCAGACCCTTCGAGTGATACAGATACACTTGGAATGTTCAGGAAGCTTCGTCTCAGAAAATGGCAGAGTGAAACCCCCCTGCCATCTCTCCATGGATATATAGTGGTACCTTGGCTCACGAACTTAATCTGTTCCACGACTCTGGTTGTGACCCAAATTGGTTGTGACCCAAGTCAAATTTCCTCATAAGATTCAATGCAAATAAAGTTAATCTGTTCTGTAACTATTTTTTTAATCAGAAAAATTTGAAACGAAGTGACAAAGAACAACAAAGTAACAAAGTACAGTACAGTGGAGAACACTAACCTAGGTGGGGGGGGTAATTGTCTTGAGGGAGGGTCCCCCTCCATAAGGACACTGGGGAGATCCCTTTCAGGGGTTTCCTCTCTTCTTTGTCTCTTAGCTGCAGGGTCAATTTTGGTGAAAAATCTGTCTATAATCACTTGTTTTTTCCTGCGCTGCATAACTCTCCGGAAATGAGAGACCACGTTATTGATCATCAGATTCAACACTCTTTTCGTTACAGTTATGTAGGGCTGGTGCTTCTCACAGAAATCCTGGCACGGGTGTGCTCCTGCAGGAAAGACGGGCGCAGTGCGGCACAGCCGTGATCACGCACGTGTTCCCTGCACGAACGCAACCGCGATCGTGGCCATCTCCCCACTTGGGTGCGGGGGGGGGGGAGATGGCTGCGATCTTGGTCGCCACCCAATGCGGAGTTTGCGACCCAAGTCAAAATTTTCATGAAATTTTTGTTCGCGACTCCATTTGGTTGTGAACCAAGGCATTCGTGAGCCGAGGTACCACTGTATATGGCCTTGTAACAAGGTATGCTTTATTTTACATACATGTAAACCTCCTGTGTTCATGAGGAATGTTTTGGCATTGAACTCTGGGTGCTTAGGAAAACCTGATACTCCCAAAGGGTGAAAGATATCAAGAAGGTCTCAAAAGCAATTCTTTGTTTTATTAAAGAAGTTAAAATGAATTAAAATCACACATCAGGGGAATTAGAACTGCATGTCAACGCTGAGAAAAGGCCAAGAATTACAAGCTTTAAAGCCAATGTGGATAACAAGGATTTCTGTGCAGTGGAGGGTATGGAAAATCACATGTGAGCCTGAATACTAGGGCTTTTGGAATTGGCATGGAGTGAAATATTAGGAACAGGGGAAGAAAGAAAAGAACTGAAGTCTTTCCTACTTAGAAGGAAACTGAAAGCTAATACAAAGATTCATCTCGCTGTAACTGCTGACTCTGAATTGATGGGGAGTTGTGTCAAACTTCTTATCTGCAATAGAAGGAAAGTTAGAGAGGGAAAAAAGTGTTGTTTTCTTTTGTGAGCAGAATGTGTGAAGGCTCCCTGGTGGAAGGGACCTTCTCTGTGTCTGTGGACTGGGCCTGCTTTTTCCCTGTCTTCTCGGGATTTAGCAATTAAAATAAAACTTTTTTTCTAAGTTTGCTCATGGGTGTAGAAAATAGATTTTATGTGTCAGACATTAAGGGAGGAGAGAAAAGGGTGAGTGCTTTTTTTTCTTGATGCAAGGAGAAGGCGGGCATGGTTGGGCAGTATTTCAATATCTCTGACCATCACAGGTGCAGGTGGGCAAGGCAGCCAAAGGGGGTTTGGTGACTGTTTTAAACAAAGATGACAAAAGGTTTTGATTGGCAGGCTTGCTTGCCCATTATTGGCCTTATAGGGCTTTATAGCTCTAAATATATCCCATTCTTTATTATTTTGTTCTGTTTGGCTAAAACAAGAAGGTTAAAGAAATATTTCATGGTGGGCTTCTTTGATTGCAATCCTAAGGAAAGTTCTGAAATTTGCAAGAGTTGCCAATGGCAATGGCTGGCCAGAAAGTTGTATGCAAGAAGTCTGCAGCTCTACTTGTTATTTGCAAGGCCTTCATATCCTACGGAGCTTGCTTGCTTGCCCTTCTTCGAGTCCAAGGACCCCAGTTCCCTTCCAAGTATATGCCTCCTTTTCTCAAAACAGCAGGATTTGGAGGTGCTTCCTAAGATCCCATATTATCACAGATTACCCCACTTTGGTTTGTGTTGAAATGACATAGATGAGCTTGTAGGAACAAGATGGGCAAGCGATTAGCAAATCAACCTGATTTATTAGCAAATGCTCTTGAGCAAGAGGAACTATCCCATGTTAGCCAAATAAGCTCCAAATGTACAAACAGTTCTACAGTTGGGAAACTGCTTTCCCAACAGCCCTGTCAGTCATGTTGGGAGGTGACTTCTAGGCTCACTCGTTGCCCAGGATGTCTCCATTTCTCAGATTTCATCAATCTGTAGCCAAGACAGTTTATGTTTTTGGAAGGCAAAGGGGTGCTTCTTTAAACGTCTGTATTTCCAACCTAAAGCACTCTTTGGTTGCATGAGACCTCGTGTGCTTGACAAAAACTTCCTGCATTTCAGATAAGGTGTTCAACAAGAAAATTAGAAATTCCTGGCTTGGGCCAGACTCGTGCTATAGAATACCTGTCTTTTCTGGGTCCATTTTGCCCTTTGGAAAATATTTATTTATTTATTAAACACTTTTCTAACCCATCTACTACAGGTGTCTCAGGGTGGCTTACAAAAAATGAGTAGAATAAAAGTTACACCACAGCATCTGACAATTGATATATTAAAACCCCAGTTAAAATCAATTTAAAATAACGGGAAAATAAAAGGGGGTTGCCTGACGCTCAAAAGAATATAGCATCGGCACCAGACAAATCTCTCTGGGGAGCATATTCCATAGTTGGGGCACCCACCTCACAAGATAGTTTTGAGAATAAATGGAGTAGAGGAGAACTGGGGAAGCTGCCCTGGGGTCCTTGCAGGAGGAGAAAAGGCAAGATATAACTGCAATGTGGTGGTGAAGGTGAAGGTGAAGGTGAAGGTGATGCTATGTCCCTCGGTCTCCAGATTCAAAGGCTATGGGCATGCAGTGCAGGGATATACATCTTCCTGCCCTGAATTTTTTTGGTGGGTTTTTTGCCTGGCCATCTGGAATAGCTTGGGTAGTTGGGAAGGAGGCTGAGCTGCTTCCTTCCCCAAAACACCACCTTCCCCACCCACCCAACCAGATAATTTTCCCAGCCTCGAGAGCAGCCAGTGCAATTCTTTCTGCTGTGGTAGCGATGGGGCAGGGGAGGAGATTCCCATCTCTGAGTTCACACTACTTTCTTCAGTCTCACATCTGGGGATCCAAACTATCCTATGGCCCATAAGATGTTCTCCAGAGCCCATATGATTGCTCCATCAGGGAGCTTAATACTGGACTGCACCACTGCCAGTGCGGTGGTTGTGGGAAGGAGCATTTACAAGGTATATGGATTAGGGTAATATTATCGTGCATCTGCGTTTGGGACTCTGTGTGTGCGTGTGAGGACCATTTAAAAGTCTGAATGCATTTAATATAGTATGCCTCTGCCTGGAGTGAGTGGGGAATCCTGCTCATGACCCCTTGGTTCCAGCCCTGCTTCCCACAGTGGCCATGTCACTGCTTGAGACCTCGAGCATGTCATGTCCCGAGACCTTGGAGACTGTCCCAAGACCTCACTAGTGGACAGTATATTTAAATGAATGAATGAATACATGTCCCATTATCCTGCCTGTGTGGTTGTGGAATTCACACAGATGCCACTGTTCAGTAGAAAAGTTGCTCCCATGTGGCTCTGGATGCAGTGGAGAAAGAGAATTTCAGCACGCGTGACGAGTTGGGGTTGGACAAATGGACCTTGTGTGGGGAGCCAGAGGTATCTCGGGGGGGTCACCTCACCCACCCTGCTCAGTAGTACGGAGAACTGGACTGCATCTGACTTGCAGCTGTAGGACCAGCTACATGAGCAAATGCATAGGAATGATGGGAGTTGCAGTCCAAAACCTCTGAATTGCTCCAGGCTGGGGGAGACGTCATCTTCCTACCAAGGAAGCCAGTGGAATTTTAAATCCACACTTTGTGCAATTCTGTGGAATGAGATGGTGCTATTCTTTCTCAGTGGTGCAACTCAGTTATTAGTTTTGTATGCTGATTTATTTATTATATTTCTGACCCACCCCCATTCCTGTAAGGATTCCAAAATAGCTCGAATACCCCTCCTCATCTTTCTTTTGTCCTCATAGCAACCCTAGGAGGTCAGCCAGGCTGACAGCCCTTGATTGTCTAAAGCATGGGTCCTCAAACTGCAGCCCGTGGGCAGGATCTGGCTCGCCATGCCCATTTAACCGGCCCGCCCCAGAGGTTTTGCACTCGCTGTGTGAGCGCTCAGTGGCGGCTTGCTCGTGCGATCATTTGGACTCGCTTGGAGAAAACGATCTCCTTGCAAGCAAGCCGCTGCCTCACCTCATGCCCCCCCCACTCACCACATGCGCCCCCCGTCCCCTCACCAGCCTGTGCCCCCCCACCAGCACCGCCTTGGCTGCCCGCACCCACCGCTGGAACCTTTCAACTGGCCCCCTGTTGAAAAAGTTTGAGGACCCCTAGTCTAAAGTTACTCACTGAGCTTCATGGTCGAGTGGGGAAGGAACCCAGATCTCCCAAGTCCCAGTCCAGCACTCTAACCACTAGACCACATGGCTCTTCCCAGTAACTTTGTCTCTTACTATTACTGACACAGGCACATTTTAAAAAAGAAGATAATTTCCCTTTAAGCATTTTTTTAAACTACTGTTGTATATATTTCTGCTAGCAAGAAGTACAAACCTTTCTGGTCATTCTTGCCCTGATTTCTATTCCTTGGATGCTCCTGATTAAACCCTTCATTCTTCGAGCCAATCACCAGAGAGCTCAGCGCATGGTAAGGACAAAGGTCTCTTGTGACATGGGGCTTCTGCAGGGGTATAGATTGCCTTGGGTGAAGCTGAGCTGAATGGAAGACAAGGAGCAACAGTTTGAAAGTTCTTTCACTTGGATTATCTCTGTTACTGCTGGAAGTGAACCAGTCCCCTTCAGTCCACAAATTTAAGCAGTTTGCCATTCTGTCTGAATCAGCACCAGTAGCCAAATTATGGTTTTGCGAATAACTGCCAATTCAGGCCTTGCTAGTATGGCTTGTAGCTGGATTGCAAACTACATTTCTGGCAAACAATGTTTTGATGTTACATCTGAACCAGGAAGTCACAGTTTTCCTGATCTTCAAAGGCCACCATTTGGGATAACATCTGGGATATTCAAGGGCCCTATTTAGGAATTTGTTAACTGAAAATATCAGATATACAAGGAGGGGGATCTTAACAAAATGCCTTCTTTGTTCCAATACTTCAGGCAGCATGAAATGGGCGAATATGATAGAGGTTACTGATTTGTTTGGGCAATACCCAAAACGTACTAAGAAAAAAATCTAGGATTCACACAGTGAGAATAGTTCTGAGTCAGTTTTCATGGGATAATTTTGTTTGCAGGTGGGGATTTTCCTGTGTGAATGTTCATACATGTGAACGCAAACTCCCTGCAGATACAAGGCTCGGTTGAACCATTCTTTATAGCTCACTACAATTCTGTGTGTGGAATCCCATATCTATATGTACAGGTCAAGAGCTGTCATGTTTCTTGCTTCTGCTCTTTGTGTGCTGACAATAAGCATTCTCTGGCTTGCTTTCCCTAAGCTGCATTCATCTGAATTGACGGAGAGTCCCACTGGCGATATTGAGGTGGAGATCATGGAGTCCAACAACTCTAAGAAAGCAAGTCTGGAAGATCACAGTGGTGGTGGTCATGGAGGACATGGTGAACACGGGGAAGAGGTAGGCTCGGAGAAGGAAGAAACCTGGGAAAAGCTGCAGTGAGATAGCTCACTGCATCTCACATTTGCAGATTTGTCTATGTACCATAGTAGTTCACCAGAGTACAGTCTAAAGGGGCTATCCTTGGTGCTTGAACCCTGTCCCTGAGAAGTTCAGGCTACAATCCAGGGTGCTTCAGTTTTCAGAACTGTTACCGGATTGTGCCAATCAACAGCTGGGCAAACCCCGGGTGGACCCCAGACCCGAAGCCAAACAGAGCCTGAGACGAGACTTAGAGCTAACAGCAGTTTTATTCTGGTGCACTGTAGAATAAACGGAGACAAAGGGGAGAAGCTTCCCAAGTCAGAGTCTCGAAAGAGGTACAGAGAACATACATTATATACCCTATGTCATAATATGTTGTCTGGATACAAAGTAAATTCATTTCCCCATTATTCTTTGTTCTATTTGTTAGTTTACTGGGGTCACCTGCCCCTACTGATTAGTGGCAATCAGCACTTTCTGGATTCTACAAGCTGGAATCCTGCATTCTTGGATACCCTCCCTTTGATTCAAGGACAGCAGAGATTTCCACATTCTGCAGCATATCGTTTTGTTCCTGCCGGCTACTGCAGCCCCTACACCAACCATGCATTCTCTAAGTGATGTGGTTGGTCTTTGGTAGAAGACTGTCTGCCATAAGGGTGTAGGCCACTTCTCTTTTAAAAACGTTCTACTTGGTTGCATAGTCTATTGAGACATAGGCAGCTCATTTACAAATATGCTAGGTGTACATATTCAGAGCGAGAATTCATGTTGCCATGTGATGAGACAACTAAAGAAGATGGCTGCTTGTCAGACTTTCTAGTCACTTGGACGTCTTGCAGGAGGAGTCCGCGTAATTTTGGTGTTCAGCTGAGGCACAACTGTCTTTAGCATGGCATGAGTTCCCTATTCGTGAAAATGCAAACAACTAGCAGTGTGCTGGAAAGATGGTCCCCAGGGCTGTTGCCTCCTCGTTTCTCCTCAGCCCTCCCATGAGTATCCCAGAGAGCATCACAGCAGGACCAGCCCCCAGATGGGGCACACTTGGCCTGTGCATCTCAGCGTTGCCAACCTTAAGCCTTAGCAGAGGCATTAAAACCTTTTAGAATTCAGCAAAATAAACCTGGCATGTGCACTGATTGGTGGTCAAGGAAAGGGGGTGGGACCAGGGAAGGGGTGTGGCCATCAGAGGAGCTCCACATGGCCTGGATTGGGACCCTGGACCTGAGATTTTGCATTCCTGGCACACTTATTCAAAGTCCAGTGCAGACTTCATTGTGGGAAAGCAGGGGGTCCCTCCCCATTCCTCCCCCAAATTTTCTCCAGATTGTCCCCTTCCCTATTAGTCTTCTCAACACAGTAGATCAAGGAGCAATGCCACTCTTGCTCCCTTCCATTTGACTGCCAACACTCCTTCCCATTCAGCTGGAGAGCTGTGGGAAGCGACCCAAAGTCAACTGCAGCCCCATGTGCCTGGGTGGTGGACTGAAGGGTTACCACACTGGGGTCAGCAACATGGGTAAGACTTAAGAATGGGTGCAGCTCTCATGAGCGGTTCTACAGTTGAGGAAGAAGAAATCCAAAACACTTTTGAATCCAGATCATTGCATATTTGTTCTTGGATCCAGACTCATTCATGCTTATACATAGAAATCAATGGGACTTCGGTTAATCACAGTTAAATTAGGTCCCATTGTTTTCTGATGCTCGGTGCTTTTCTTCAAAATCCATTTCAGTTCAACTTTGGAGACATCTTTGTCCACCAGTGCATTCACACCATTGAATACTGTCTGGGTTGCATTTCCAACACGGCTTCCTACCTTCGGCTCTGGGCACTCAGTCTGGCCCATGCACGTGAGTTTTCATTGTACGGTGCTCATCTCTGGGATGAACAACTGTGGTGTGCATGGTCCTTCTCCTCCATTTTATTGTCACAACAGCCTCTGAGGTAGATTATGCAGAGAGTCAGTGCCTGGTGCAGAATTGCCCTGTGAGCATCATGCTCTGTGTGGGGACTAGAACCCAGATCTCCCAAGACCCAGTCCAACTTTTTGACCACTGCAGCACACTGGCTCTCAGTAGTAAGACTATTAAGACAGAGTACACTGTACAGAATACTGAATTAGTAGCAGGAAATTAAATCACTCTGACTGCAATACAGACACATTTGGCCAAGTTCAGCCAAGACTCTCCAGGGCTGCAGTTCCAAGGGGAGCCCCAAAATTCAGGCAGGTGTGTTGATATAAACCAACACAAGCCTACTGAGATGGATTGAGCAGGAGTAGCAGATTTAGAAACATAGAAACAGAGCGAGTCAGAAGGGGCCTCCCAGGCCATCTAGTCTGACCTTCGGCACCAGCCGGCTCTGCTCACGACATGCCCACCATGTGGACGTCCAGCCTATCCTTGAACACCCACACCGATGGGGCCTCAACAACCTCCTGTGGAAGCCCATTCCATACCCTTGGGCTCCTAATCATCAGGAAGTGCTTCCTGGCATTCAAACGGAACCTTGGCTCCCTGAGCTTTGCTCTGTTGGAGAGCATCCTGCCTTCCTCTGCAGGGGAGAACAGGTCTCTACCCATCTCCATGTGACATCCCCTCACATACCTGTATGTCGCCAACATATCCCCTCTGAGTCTCCTCTTCTCCAGGCTGAAGAGGCCCAGTTCCCTCAGTCTCGCCCCAGTCTCGCCTCATTTCACTCCACCAAGAGCAGGTCACTTCAGGATTTGGGGTTACAATTAAGAACAATACACTATGGTTGGGAAAATTTGTTTCTCCCCAGCTACTATGAACAGCCATGTTTAGAGGTAGCAGGAAAGTATGAGGCTGGCAGCAGAGGATGGCTTTAGTGTTCCTTCTAATAAAAAAAGCTGGTGCCGCATCCTAGCCAACACTGCCACACCACTGCTTGGGGCAAAGACGGAATTCTTAACTCTTTCAGTGGCATTGTAATGTTATGCTTCCTAAACATCTTACTAGGCATTGCCACTTAGAGAATTTCTCTCCCTGCTGAAGTAACTCTACACATGTCTGTATTACTTAGCCCACCCACAATGCCTTGTTACCCTACTGGAGGATTCTAACCTTCATTTTGGAGTGAGGATGGCTTTGTAAAAGTTCTCACGTGGAAATAGATTTTAATATATTGGCGTTTTCTTTGCCATGTTCCTTAGTGTTCTCTCTCTTTTTCTGTCTTTCTTCCACACCCCTTTTTTCTCCAGAGCTCTCAGAGGTCCTCTGGACCATGGTGTTAAAGGAAGCATTCCAGATTGCCAACTGGGTTGGCCTCATTGTGGTCTTCATTATCTTTGCTGTCTTTGCATGTCTGACTGTAGCCATTCTTCTTGTAATGGAAGGCCTCTCTGCATTCCTGCATGCACTGAGACTCCACTGGTAAGTAGGGATTTGAAAGACATCTGTTTGGATCTCACTTTTATGCTAGCTAATTTGCACTCCCAAACTGATATGCAAGCTGAAACACAGCAGTCCTTCAGTAGATCTGCACACACCTGTATATTGCAATGTAGGACATGGAATAATCAATTCAAGTTGTGACAACCCAGATTCAGGCTGGACATCAGGAAAAGCTTCCTCACTGTCAGAGTAATATGACAGTGGAACCAGCTGCCTGGAGAGGTGGTGGGCTCTCCCACACTGGAGACATTCAAAAAGATACTGGACAGCCATCTGAGTGGGATGGTGTAACATGGTGTCCTGCAACACCAGCACGTTGGACTCGATGGCCTTAGTGGCCCCTTCCAACTCTACTATCATATGATTCTATGATTCTGTGTGCTTCTCCAAAGGAAAAAATGCATACAAAACTGCATGCATTCAAGGGAGGTGACAGCTATTCAAGTAAAGAGTAGTTGAAGCAAGTGTTAGGTGTGCTCTTTGCAGTCGGCAGATCTGCTACTTCACATCCGATCCCCAAAGAGAGGACATCTCTATGCCAGCCTTTCCCAACCTGATGCCTTCCGGATGTTTTCACCTTCAGCTCCCATCAACTGGAGCTAACAGAGTTAATGGGCAGGAATACTGGGAACTGTACTCAGGTGGTTTTTTGGTGATTGCTCTCTTTGCTCAGTTGAGGATAGTCACAGGCTCCCAGGTGTACATATAGACCAATGGTTTCCTAGCCCTGACCTAAGCTGAAGTGGAACCCAACCCAGAGACCTTATGTGTTCTGAGAACATTACACAATGGCAGCAAACAAGTGGCTCTTCTTCACCACTCATCCCTTCTGCCCAATTAAGGTTATTTCCAGGGCCCTGAACATGCAAAGGGATTCAGATTTTCCTAACCCTAATGTTAAGCTGAATCTTAAACCCAACTCTAAAACTCAGGTCTAATCCCTATACATGGGAAGGTAATAGAGTGTTCTCATTGACTGCCCCTTTGCTGTTTTCTAAGCTATTTTCAGGCTCCTGGAAACACAGTGGTTCCCAGTTTTTCCTAACTCTACCACTTGAGTCATCTGAGTGGGATGATGTAAGCTGGTGTCCTGCAACAGCAGGAGGTGGAACCCAATGGCCTTTTTGGACCTTTCCAACTGTGCCACTATATAATTCTATGAAACCCATAGTGATGATCCCACCTACAAACGGGTTCTGTGGTGACTGTGCAGCAACCCTTCTTGATTCAGTTTAGTATTGCTACCCTTTTTATTTTATTCTTTAACCCTGAAGCAGTAGAAAATCGATCTATTTTAATTCATTCGATATCTTTAATTCCCCTTCCCTACACTGCTTTGATTATTATGTAATAGAAAGTTGGAATAGAAATACTCGGCTAAAGTGATTCATTAAGGAGCATTGTCTTCTAACTTTTTTTCCTCTTTCCCTTCATTAGGGTAGAGTTCCAGAACAAATTTTATGCTGGCTCAGGTTATGCATTCACCCCATTCTCCTTTAAGACCATCATAGAAGGAACTGAAGAATGAAAACTGTTTAGAGCACAGCAACCTGAAACTCCTGCTCGTTTCCCTCCCCTTCCTTCCTTACCTTCCTTTTCCTCTTCTTTTGCCTCTTCTCTTTTTTAAAATCTCCCTGAGGGTTAAAATTAAATTAAATTAAAAATTAAAAAACAAATAAATTAATCAGCATCTCAGCTCAAAGCAAATATCTAAACATGAATTTGTTGTCATTTGATGGCACTGTGAGTCATGTCCACATAAAACAGTTTCTGGGCTGCTCCATTTGACCTCCTGTACAGATTGTGCTAGTTAGGAAGCCGGGGGGGACTTCCTTTCCTGTGAAAACTTTCTCTTCAAGAGATTAATGTGGGAGGTAGTAAATGACACGTGTCTACACAGTAGGATGTGCAGTGTTTATGCTCCAGGTTGAACCTTTCACAAAAACCAAGCGCTGTGATGGGCTAGTGCTTCTCTACCCCAGGGCTCTGCAGCTCTCATCCTGTTGTAAACCTTACATTGTTCCATGGAAAAGTGTTGCCAAAATGCGTCTCATATTTTCAAGAAAGTCAACTGCTTCTTCACTGGATTGATAGCAAACAGAAATAAATTGTTCAAAACTAACTTGTATGTGCCTCTTTCTCTGCCCCCCTTCTCTGCCCCCTACCATCACACCTTCTAAAAGTTTCCCAGAACAAACACGTAATTTATTTGGCTGAAGGCTTAGGCTGATCAGATGACAAAAAGGTCCTTAAATTAATCCTCTTACAAGATCACATTTCTTTATCCTGAAGAACACCTGAAGAACACAAACAAAATTCAGTCATTCAGAGCTTTCATATATGAATGTTCTTCATGATAAGAACCCCTTCATTATCTTAATTGTTCCACAGCTTAACTTTTACTAGCTAGGGATTTTCTCATGTAATCATTCTAAACAGGCTGATCCGGATCTTGAAAGAGTCAATCTAGGCACATACAAGGGGATGTAACAACCACAAAACAGGAACCGTCATTTCCCCTTCAGAAAATCCTGTTTCATTATGTGGGTGACAGTATATCAACATTTGTGCTGCTGTCATCCTCCATTTATAACCCTTCTCTGCTTCCTCCCTATTTCACCCATACTTTTGCTAATCAAAGAAAAACTCCGTGTCTTCTCGGAGCTGTCCGTATGGAAGCACCCAAGTGCTTCCAACGTTTCAACCGCTGCCACCCAGGATTCAACAGCAATTTATATTAGCCCTTGAGCATTATTGGACCTTGTGGCTGATTCTGATCTCTAATCATCCCAAAGCGGCCCCAGATGTTCTGCTATCTGAGCAGACGGACCCAATGGTGCTTCCTACCCCACGTTGTCCCCATTCCATGTAAAGGAGCCAGCTGGACTGGCAAAGACAATATTGGGGCCACACAAAACACTGCTAAAGCACACGTCCTATAGCTGTGTGTGCTAGCTCCCACTTCTCCAAACAACCCCAGTTTGGATTGGGTTCATGATGCTTTGGGAGAGGAGGATTAAGGCTCCCCCTGCCTTTTTCTGTGCTAAATGCCACACTCAAACAACAAGGGGGTTAAAAAAAGAAAACTGTGCCCACTGGAATCAAGGAAAGCTCTTTCTAAACCCTTCCCTCACCCTCAAATGAATCCCCCTTAAACCTTACCCCTAGCATGACTATTGAGCCAAGCAGGGAAATGTTTTAGTAGCACCAATGGAAACTCAGGGTTGAGGCAGCAGCTCTGGGGCTCTTTGACCTAGATGGGGCCCAAGCTTAGCAATGTGCTTGCTGCCCGCCATTTTATGTAATTCATATATCTCCTTCCTGGTAGAGCTCCACTATCTGCCAGCAGCATGATACCTCATGAAGAGGAAATTTCATACACCCGGAAAATCGCTACCCTTAATAGCTGCCATATGCTCCGTCATAAGGCTGCTTAATTTTGTTTGTTTGTTTGTTAAGTGGGCAGGTTGAACTGCAAAGAGTGACTAGAATATCTCGGTGACCATCTGTGTATTTCTCTGCTATTCCCCCTTTTCTGGTTTTGTTCACTGAACCATCGAAGTAGCAAGTGCTGCCCTTTTAAGAGAGGCCAGGTATGCTGAGGGGCGTGGTAGGGAAATCCTGCATTCATTTTTTTCCAGTGGGAACGTCCTCTAAATAAAAATAATAATAATGTAGCCTGTGATTAAGCACTTGTTAAGATACTGCAGGAGCAGGTGCCTACTCTCCAAAGGAAAGCTGTAGGAAGAATTGCCCTCAAAGACTTAAACTGAAATCCTAACCACAAGGCAAAGGTTTTCCAGGAAGGAGTGTGTAACCCAGTCTGTGAGACACACAAGTGTGTGGAAGTTGAATGCAAATGCGGTGCCGAAGCAGATGTAATCCAACCTTCAGTCCTTGAGAAGGAGAGAGTGGGCAACAAGATCTTGTCAAGTGTTTGATAATTAAAAGGTAAGGAAACTTTACAGAACGTCTTTGGTGCTTGAACACTAACACCTTGATGAAGTCTTCATGTCGTGTAGAGCCATGAACTGATACGGCATTTTGAATGCTAGAGTGTTAATGAACAGTTAACAGGTTTGTGGAAATGCGGCTTCCCTTTACAACTTACATTTGCAGAACCTGCCCAAACCAGTGTCCACCAAGCCGTCATATTTCTGGAATGGAATGATAGCCAAGAAGAGGGGAAATTGAAATAGGAATATTTCTAGTAGCGATATAAGGACACCCCATTATACAGTGCTGTATGTCATCTCAAAGTGTTTATGTATCTGACAAACAATGCAGGTCAAACTGTGCGTGTTTGTGCTGGTCTAAATTCAAAGAGACCCTTAGCACAGTTTTCCAGCTCCAGGGTGGGAGTTCTGTTTCTGATCGCAGCTCCGGGATCCAGAGCATCCTATCCCTTACTCACATAATGTCGGGGTTGGTTGGGGGCATGACTTCACAGTCTCCACTGGGCTGGATTCTGGGGTCTTCTGCCTGCAGAGTCAGGTCCTGCCATTGCACCATGGTCCTTTCCCATAGAAGAGATGAGGTCAGTGTATTCAGCCATAATGCCTGCACTCCCCAAGCCAGATTTCTCTGCTGGGGACAGAGAGGTGCCTGCATATACCCATTTGTGCACTGCAGTGCGGAAGGGTGCAGATTTTGGCTTCAGTAAATAAGCAGGTCTTCAATCTGTGCAAAGAAACACATGATCAGAAAGACATTGTGAGTCTTCAGTGCTGTTTCTTGCAGAAGAGGCAGGGAATGTCTGCAAGAACTTGCCCCAACCTGATGCCTGCTTCCGAAGTGTTGGGTGGCAACTCCTATCATTCCCAGGCAACAAGGCCATCTGGGAGCTGTAGTCCAGTGTATCTGGAGGGAAGGGCACCCTAGCAGCTTACACCCAATTCCCTGCATTTAGGTAAAGATCAGACTGTCAGACTGACTGCGGTGATCCCAGAGTGAAATCCAAACAGCAATTATGCTCCCCAGGCAACCTTGCAGCAATCCCTACTTTTCAGCCTACACTCTCTTGCAGGATTGTTCTAGGGATAAAATGTACCTGGGACAAGCCAGGCACATGTGGCAAATGCCTTGGAAGAAGGGCTGGGCAGCAGTGCAAGAAAACGAACCAAGTGCAATGTTGCTCATCAGTTCTGAGAGCAGCTGGAGCTCTTACGATATATGGCACAATTCAGGATGAGTAACATGCCACTCATGCATTCTCGTGGCTGCAGCACACCCAAGACACCTGATGGGACACGGCTGGAGCTGGAGGGAAAGTGAACTGTTTCAACAATGGCTAGAAAACAAGATAACCAACCCCATCCACCAACAAATCCCATATTATATATCATATCATATCATATCATATCATATCATATCATGGGTTTTAATTGCTTTCTGAGCTGATCTCTTAATATATATATATATATATATATATATATATATATATAATGAATTAATATTTTTATTTAAAATTATTTCTGGGTCACCTTTAAGAAGGGCACTCTTAGGTGTCATCAGTCTACACAGAATTTAAATATTGGCAATGTGAGACATAGTTTGTGACATTATGGTTCATCATCATCCACTCCCTCCAGCTTTAACGTGAAACCAAGACCTTCTCAACCAAAAGCTCGAGGAACCAGCACTTTTGGAAGATGGATGACAAGAAGGAACAAGGAGTAAATGCTATTGCCCTTGAGGAACTGGGCATCCAAGGTCAAGAGCCAAAGAAAGGTAATCTAGTTCTGTGATTAACCTCTCTCATACCTATGATATCCCTCAAACTCATGGCTAACCTTTCCTGTAAGATGTAATGGCCTAGGCTCTAGAGCAGTGATGGTGAACCTTTTAGAGACCAAGTGCCCAAACTGCAACCCAAAACCCACTTATTTATTGCAAAGTGCCAACACTGCCATAAAACCTGAAAACTGAGGCTTTAGTTTAGAAAAAACAACTCACAGCCAGTCCAAGCAACTATATATATATATCCTTGGCATTGCACTGACCAGCCATGCAAAAGCTTGGACAAGTCGCGGCTTGTGACGTCATCGCCTGGCACCGCTTCTCCTTTCCGAGCATGCGCATGGCCCCTATGTGCCCTGTTATCTGATGCTCAGCTGCTGGGGGGATGCTGGCATGACGTGGCTCGTGTGCTGACAGAGAGGACTCTGCGTGCCCACTGTGGCACATGTGCCATAGGTTCGCCACCACTGGCCTAGAGCAATAGGAGACCAATGAGATGGCTAGGTGTTCTGCTTTACAGAAGACAGTCGTCTTTTAGGGACCATCCTCCCTATGAAGAACTATCTGGTTCAAGCCTAGTGTAAAGATAAGAAGCCCTGAGATCAAGGGAGGTTGCCTGCCCATAGGGCTTGGACAATAGACTGAGGAGGCCTTTGGGTACATTTCAAGGACTGGGGGGATGGACTCATTTCTATTTAAACTGCAACAGTTATATCTATGTGGATATCAGCATATTTAAAATAGCACATGACTATTTTATGCATGTCTACCCTTTCCTCTACTTTTGGG